TCGTTGCCCTCCTCTCTCTCTCTCTCTCGCTAACCCCTCTCTCCCCCCGTGCAAGCCACCCACGGATTTGGAGGAAGAGGAGAGATGCGGGATCTGGAGGAGGAAGAGGAGATCCGAGCGTCCCGGCGGTGGATCGACCGATGCCAGATCGGGCGGAGGTCGCCGCCGTGGGAGGAGCAGGGAAGGGTGAGGCCTGGGTTCGACCAGCAGCGCACGCTCTTTAGGCTGGTGCTAGGCTGCATCTTTTCCTGCCCCCGTCCTGGTGCCTCCTCCTACCCGCGTAAATGGCGAGCAGAGGGCGTGAGTACCAGGTGAGATCTTCCTCCACACTGTTCCTCCATCCTGCAAGTGTGATTTCTTTCGTTTTCTATGAAGATCATTCACATCTATTTATTTTTTGTTCCTCTCCCATCTTAATTTCTGATTTGATTCCAGAGTTTGGATGTGGATGTTACTTCAGGGAGGAAGTTGGTTACAATTTTCATTTGTATGATGCAGCAGGCACAAACTAATTTACAGGTGGGTTTTCTTTCAATGATTGGTGAGTTACAGGTCAACCCTGTCTCACCTCACTAAATTTGGAACTCATGCTTTTTTCCTTGCTTGATATTAATTCTTGATATTCTTGGCACATCCTTACAGGGATATCATGTGCATATGTATGAGTTGCTTTGCTTCGGTTGAAGATATATGTGTGCCTGTAGATATATCTTACATGCATTTTCAGTATGATATGAGCACTCTTTTGTCTCTGGGTGTACGTAGGTTGCAAGAATGAAAAGGCTTAGGGGATTATTGTAGAGTTTTCATTCACATGGATGCTCTATTCACGACTAATCTTTCTTTATTTGCAGAATTTTTGGTGTTGCGGTCTCTCCCCATCTTAACATTGTCTTCCGCTGGAAGGAGAGGAAATTTGTGTATATCACACCTATCAGCTACATCCCATGGAGTGGAATTTTGTGTCAGGCTCATTGGAGAAGCTTTCACAGCTATGGCTCTTCTTTCAGTCATAAGATTTACAGATATACTAATTCTAAAAGATTTGATTCACAGGTTAGTTCTAATAGAGCCACACGTATTGTGTTTGTCGTCTTCCAGTTTGCCTTTCTTCCATGCATTTGAAGGACTCGTACTTCCATTTCCTCTTGCGATTTCATCCATCCATTCCTCTCCTTGCAGCTTTAAATTTGTGAAATCCAACGTATTTAGATAAGAGAACATTTGCCACATAATTATGCTAATATTCTATGAATAATTACACTTTTGTGGCTGTGCTAATAGTAATAGATGACTCTTAGCGACCCTGCGCATTCTCTAATTTTCCGTACATGAAAGTTTATTAAATGCATGCAGTGCTTTATCCTGATTTGCAAGAGGAACATGAAATTCCTATTTCACATAAGTGAAGAAAATATATAACACTGATTGTAATAGTTGGTGGTCCGGTGATTCCAGTTTATTTCTCTAATTTGATGTAGGAAATGGATTGTAAATTGCAAGTGAGTTGGGGCTTCTGATTGGACCTTGTGGTGGTTGGATCTGCTGACAGATAGGGAGAAGCATGATAGGTTGCTACTGCTGCACCTATTATTTGATTTCTTTCAATGTTTCAATCAGTTTATCTAAAGCATGATTTTAATATGCAATTTTATCAGTCGGAGATTACCTGAATGATTCGTGGAAATTAGAATGTGGGGATCTCAAAGAATGTTTCACAAGAAAAACAAATATTGGCCATTTCCAAACTTGCTCGGTGGTCGAGGTACTATAGAGGACATCAGTAGAATGAAAGCAAGAGCAATCTGACACCATTATTGATAGTCAGCTTCCATTATCAGCAGCTTCAGACGTGTATGTGTTCTTTTGTTCATTTTCATCTTTGTGGTATGTTCTTAATTCCCCTTGTTGGGATTCTTGACAGATCAAGAATTGTTGATGCAGATATATCTTTCTTTTGGAAATGGAAGTTGCTGTTTCTTCCCAGGTGAGCTGAGATGATAACTGAACTCTCTTCTTGCACTAGCAATCCATCTGTTTTGATTTCATGATCATGGTTCTCCCGTCATGCTCTTATGATTTTATACATGCCAACAAGCATCCACGCGATTTGTTCTTTACTTCTGCACATATTACCATGTTTTCCCACAAAAATACACATGCCGCGGCAAGCCGTGGCAAGCCGCGGCAATCATGTTCTCAAGTTTTAAAGCGTATAAAATAAGAGCATGTATCTTAGTTATTTTGGCACTGCCATCCTTTACATTATAGGGTGTCTACATATGCAAATTTGCAACTTAAATTTACCACACCTTTGAAACCTGCAGTTGTTTACTATTCTCTTAAATCTTTAAACTATGTGCTCCATCCCGTTAATTTCAGAACTAGGAAGGTGCGGATAATAAGAGTTGTTGACAGAGGCAACCTGCACATGTGCAAACAGTGGCTATGGTGGCTCAAAGGGAAGCAGCGGCTGCTCCATGGAAACACGCAACTTAGTGATGTACTTTTTGTTTCTAGATTTTGTTCACTCTCATTAAATTTTAAGCAAGAATATCCACTACCCTACAAAAAGTTCTTCCAACAAATATTTTTGTGTGTGCAGCTAAGATCAATCTTCCTATTCATTCATTGCACGCTGTTATTCTGCAGGACCGGCGAAGCGCAAGGTCATGTACAAGGTGGGGGTTGATTGTCCCAGTTTTCTCTTTTGGTGTCTTGATTCTGTTTTTTCCTGGTTTGCACAAGATTCACTCATGAAATTGATTTTCTTGCCAACTTTTCAGGGATAAGCTGGTCAATGAAGGAAATTCTAAAAGAAAGCGACTACAAGCAACATTTGAAGGTACAGCCTGTATTATGTTACTTCAGAAATTAGTATCATGGTCTGTTATTGGGAATCACGAGTTTCTTGACAATGAGACCCATTACATTTTCTTTTCATAAAAAAATCCTTGGAAGAGATTGTAAAGTTTAACGAGCATGTCCCTTTTACATCTCTTTACAGTGTGTTTTCTTTTGGTTTGACAACATTTTAAGTTTTATATTTTGTACAGGCTGTGTATAGTGTAGGAGGTATTGATGATGAAATATGAATGTCCCTTGTTCTTGTCTGCTCCTGACACAGTAGACTTGTGTGATGTGCTCTAGATCCTTTCTCTTTTTTCATTAAATGATTATGTGACTGAGGAGAGCATGTTCTTAATTAGGTTGCCATTGTGAAACTTGTTTTCGGTTTTTTTTATTGTATAATACAGAGCTTCCAAATGGTTTGATCCTAGAAATAAGTTACCAATTTTCGGTGTGTAGTGAGCTGGGAGCCGGGGTCATCCTTCTCACCACCAGTCGAACATACTACTTCAGCCACCATGTTGAGCGATACAAAAGTGTTCTCTATTTCTGAGAGCAACAACACGAGATTGTGCCCCCTCTTGCTCCAGGTGCATGTTGCTGTAATTAGTATCAACAGATTAAATCATGGACCATGTCTCTGTTTCATACCACCTCTGTTCATAAACAGATAGCTTCCTAGAGATTGTGCAGTCCTAAGGCCATCCACACTATTGCCCCTTAAAGCGTATTGAGTGCATCAAGCCTAATTTTCTATTGGACAGATTTTGTTCTGTTATCTATTAGTGTTAGAACAATACAAATTTTCCTATTTTGCAGAAACTAACTTAGTGCTTCCTTCTTTCAGTTTTGAAATTCAGCAATTCTTTTCCTTAATCGCAAACTGAATTGTTCGTCGTTGCTATTTGGTTTCCCTTCTGTCTGTGGCATATTGATGATTTGATCCGCATTCAAGAAAGAAATATTCCATGCAAGCCTCCAGCCTAAGTAAAGAAATTTATTTGCTTGCCATTTGAATAAAAAATTTGAGCAGATATATATTTCATTGTTCATGATCTTTCTTTTTTGTTTGTATCGAACTTCATGCTTACTCAATATATATCATGTTGTAATCCGGTCTGATTTGTTCATACTTAATTTCTTTTCTTCAGCTCTTTGTTTTATTGATAGATGATAAAGAATGCATCATCACAATATTTTTTTATTTAAAATCTGTATGGGATTGGTCAGTTGGTGCATCTGCATTCATAGAACGGTCTTCCTTTAATATAGCAAGACTGAACCAGGTTAGTTTGCGTGTGAAGTTCTTTTTTTTTTTAGAGATAAGGCACAATGTCCGACTTCATAAATAAAGCCATCAATGGCAATCAAGTCAAACTGAAGTTGAGTTAAAATGTTACAAAACAAAGCTGCCTGATATGGAATACACACTATTTTCATTTCATTAACATGAATCTGCCATTAACGTGCTTTGTTCTTAACATTTGTTTTACCAAATGCAGGGGAGCGTCACCGATATTTTCTTGAAGCGGTATAATCGTTGATAATATCTTTACGGTTTGTCCTTTGTTTCAGAGAACATAATTCACACATGATATTACCCTGTTGGCCTGTTGTTTGGCGTTGGACCATGGACACAAGGTTCATATAAAATTCTTTGGATACAGATAATTGTGAGCTCTGAATTGTTGAAAAATTGTTCTCCATAGTTCTGTACGAGTCAGTTTGTGTTTTTGCATTCTCAGCAGTTGTCGTCCTTGAATAATTTAAGTTAAAGCTAAGATTGAGAGAGGGTGAGAGAGGTAATAAACAGTGGCTACATAGTTTGCGAAAGAGAAATTGTCATTGGAGAAGCACACGATACATGAATAGGAAAGGCATCACACTCGAGTTTGGAGAAGAAAAAGGGTACAAGGACAAAGATAGATTAGTATTCTGCTCTGAAGCTAAAACTTTTTGTGGGATGCATGTTTTTTTTAATGTTATTTGATTCTGTATTATGGAAGTATGACTGGTCGTATATATTTACATTAATGTTGTCAAGTTGTGGTTTAGCAATAGGTATAATCTCCTATCAAGGTACTTCTTTTGAATATATCGCTGTTTTTAAACTTGCAATTTCTATGTGGACCTATGCTCGCGAGCGTCCCTCGATTTTGCTGTGTTTCTTGTTGTTCGATGGTGTGCCTATATGCTTAATTTTGTCGTTATCCGTGTCTAGGCTTCACACAAGAGGCTGAAAGAGGACGATGATGCAAGGAAATATTTCTAGCAGCTGATCAACATTGTCAGCTACTGCCAGAGCAGAGGCGTTTATCACCACGATCTGAAGGTATTGTGGGGTGCTGCTTACTGATGTGCTCTATGGGAAGAAAAGTGGGTCCATACCATTTATCTTCTTCCTTATATCATCCTGAAAATCTTCTGCTTTGTACTAATGACACTCTCAAGGTGATTTTGGATTGAGTACGTAAATTGTCTGCTTTCACTTTTTCTAGCTTGATGGAAACCATCATGATGCAAAATTTAGTCTAGGTCGGACATGTATATACAAATCCTGCTACTCTTTTCTTTGCTCAATTAAAATAATTTAGTTTACCCTAGGAAGTCATGTTCATTCTCCTGCTCTTTTACAAACCATAGGCTAGAAAATTTCTTTTTAGCATACGTTCTCCTTTTATTAAGCTTTCTTTTGCTACAGTTTGCCAGGCAAATAAAGTTTTCCAGTCAATAGTTCACCTGTCTCCTAATGCATGTAATACTGTTTGGAACTGGCACTCCAATGGATTCAGTTACATGATGTCGGATTAGCTGGCTGCCATTATGCAGCGCATCTTGTGTGCCTCTGGTTATGTTCTATATAAAATGACGTGAAATGTGAAATTGGGCAATACTTTTGATATACTTTTGTAACATGGTGTATCATTCATGTTTGGTTTGTGCATAGTTCTATTGGTGTTCTGTCAAATCTGGGGCTTTGTATTTTCATCCCGGCTTATTGTAGTATTACAATCTGGCAGTATAAGAGTTCTGGTTAGTTCTCATAATTCATCCAGTATATGTTTGGTTTCAAAGCAAATAAATTGAAAGGACGTATAAGAGAAGGTATAAGGTGGAATCTTGCAAGTAGTTGACCAAATATATCTCACTTCGAGGAATGCTTTTTGCTGAGAATACCACTTTTTTTCCAATACCCCAATGATTTCATTCGCCAGTACCTTGACGACTTGGATCAGGTTTTCTTCCGAAAAGGTACTTAGACATGTCATAATATAGTTGGTAGTTAGGAGAAGCATTAATCTTTTTGTTTCTTTAGCAAATAGTTCTCATGTTACAGGGTGCATGGACAAACAGATGCAAGGGGCATTGTTTCATACAACACCCACACCAATGACCATTGGACGAGTGAAGCCAAGGGACTTGTGAACAACATGAAAAACTTTCATCCATCTTTTGATTACACAGAAATATGCCTTTGATGCATCCGTGTTGGGACAAGCTTTTTCGGACGGAGGGAGTATATGATGTAATTGACCACTATCAATTAGAAATGCTCCTGGACACAATGCTCTATATTATCATGTCTTTCGTGCATTTTATTGTGCCACCTGCGTATATAGCTACTTGAATCTTCTAATTGCAAACTCAAACATTTGCATTTTGTTTTTCGTTTCAGTTGGGCTTTTGTGTCAATTTTATTAGTTTCATACATTACAAATGAGGAAAAAAATATTTTTATGCAGATCCACGACACATTGCAAAAGAGTATACATCAACATTGTCTGCTACCAAAAAAAAAGTACTCTTTTAGTTCTTGCTTCAAATTTGTCTCGCGCGCCAAATGGCGCGGCAGGTCATCTAGTTAATACAAAGGTGGCAACTGGGTGGTAGAGGAGGTAGAGTTAATTCATTTGGGTCTCTCTGCTCTCCCTCGCCTCTCCTCTAGCTCGTCTTGTATGAAATATGCTCTGAACCAGAGAGAGAGCAAAACGTGAAGAACAGACGACCTGTCCATGGAAGTAGAAGACCTAGAGGTAATATCCAATAGAAAAAACATTTAGAAGCAGTTTTCTATCTCTGGTTCGATTTGGATTAGGTTCTTTCTATCCCTACGAAGCTCTTTGACCAGGATGGACCAGTGAGCTGGTTCGAACATTTCCTGGTCAAAGCTTTGTTTCCTCTTTAATGAATCTGGGTCTGTGTCTGAGTTTTTGTTCTAGTTGCTGGTTCATATGGTGTGTGTGGGGCCTGTACTGGTGGTGTTCAATTTGGTGATGGTGCCTGAAAGTACTATGCTGTACTAGAGTATTTTGTTCTGGGGTATATATGCACTTGGATTCCTCCGAGCACACCCTTTTTTGAAAGGGAGATTTCTTCTTTTAGGTTCTACTTTATTTCCATAGATGGCTGGGGGTGGGGGGGAGGTTGAGGGAGGATGTGATATGATTCGATCTGGCATGTACAGCAAATGAAAACCATGGTACTGTACTGACTCTGAACTTTATTGCAGATGTCACCAGAAAGAGGGGTTGGTACGGGTAGGCTGCCTAAGCATAGGTTCTTGTCTGATTGGGAAACTGGATCTAGCTGTTGGGGAACGTAGTAATTTCAAAAAAATTCCTACGCACACACAAGATCATGGTGATGGCATAGCAACGAGAGGGGAGAGTGTTCGTCCATGTACCCTCGTAGACCGTAAGCGGAAGCGTTAGCACAACGCGGTTGATGTAGTCGTACGTCTTCACGATCCGACCGATCCAAGCACCGAACGTACGGAGCCTCCGAGTTCAGCACACGTTCAGCTCGATGACGATCTCCGGCCTCCGATCCAGCCGAGCTCCGGAGATGAGTTATGTCAGCACGACGGCGTGGTGACGATGATGATGTTCTACCGGCGCAGGGCTTCGCCTAAACTCCGCGACGATATGACCGAGGTGGAATATGGTGGAGGGGGGCACCGAACACGGCTAAGGAACGATCCGTATATAAAGGAGCAAGGGGGGAGGCCGGCCGACCCCTTTGGGCGCG